TAATTTCTTCCATTAGTCTCACCAAGACCAATACATGTATTTACTCTGTACTAATTCTGTAGATCCCAATAGCGCTGGACATGGCAAAAGACAGCAAAGATAAAGATCGTGAGCTGAAAAAGAGAATGAGTACAGACAATTATATGCGCTGTGCTATTCGCGAGTGCTATCTTTCATTTAAAAGTATTATTAATTTTTTGGTCCTTGGAGAGCGTGAAAAGAAGTGAGTTCAATACTACTTGAATATGTCTCAGAATAGAAAGAAAACATTTCATCTGCCAGACTTTTGTTATCTTCCTGATGACTCCTCTGTCCAGGGTTATAAATGATATCTTCACCTTAGTTGATGCGCATATTGCTGAGGGAAATCTGACAACGGAGTTCAATATGAGTGCTCTCCCAAGCCTCCATGAGCAATTTGTTCAGTTGATTGACCATCTGGTATTCTTATTTGACAGTGAACTTTCACATATTTTTATTGATTAATCAAGATTGTAGCTAGTCCCAACCATATCTTTCTGATGACCTACAGCTGAAAAACAAAAAGGAGGACAAGGACCAGGTCGTAATTGTCTTGCTCAACATGTTAGAGGTTGTGACAAGGGACATAATGGAGGATGAAATTCCCACGTAAATGATTTGGAATCTGATATCTCAACTAGGTTAATATTTTTGATTTTGTTCCCCTCAATCCTCCATTCATTTCTTTTTCATGCAGCTTGCTAGATTCAAGCCATGGGGGAACTTATGGGAAAGATGAGGGAATGACACCCCTTGATCAACGGGATACATATTTCGGTGAACTGAATTTCCCAGTGCCAGTGACCCCAAAAACAGAAGCTTGGAAAGAAAAGGTATGTTTCATTTACAATGTTATGATTTCAGTGCTGGATTAGCTAGTCATCACGACCAGAATATTAATGTTAGTGCATTGACCTTTCATATCTGGTTTCTCAGTCTGAATGAGTTTCGTAAAAGTTACATGTAATAAATTTATCCTGTATGTGAGTCCATTATCTTCTATAGATCAGAAGGCTTCATCTATTGCTTACGGAGAAGGAGTCTGCTATGGATGTCCCATCCAACTTGGAAGCTAGAAGGCGCATTTCTTTCTTTTCTAACTCATTGTTTATGGACATGCCTCCTGCACCTAAAGTTCGAAATATGCTTTCCTTCTCGTAAGTTATCTTAAATTTGGACTTTCTTCATTGTTATTGCATTTTTCCTTTCATGGGTGACGGGGGTGAAGATATTTCAGTGTCAATTATTGTCACGCCCTTGACATGGGAAAAATGTTCTTTA